CTTAACCATTTACTGTTTTTAAAAAACAGACAATAGCGCGGCCTCCTGTCTGTGACCCCTGCCGCCGCCCAGCGGAGACAGGAGACATTGCACCCGATTAACATTCGTTGCTTTGTCAACAACTACACACTTATAAACCTTCAAATTAAATATGTATAGGGATAAACACCAGTTCCAAGCCCCATCATGGAGACAGATGGGCACCCTTCACAGTTCAGTTCACGTTTAAAAGCACGATGCTCAAGATTATGAGCAAAATGCCAAAACCCAGCTGTAGATGGAGGAGGTTACCTAGTGTGTTTGTTAAAATCAGAGGTGCATTAAAGAAACAAAGAATGGTGCAGAGAATAGGAGTGTCAGAGTTGTCCTCGGATGTAAGGAGATGGAGAGGTGAATAGATTCGAAAGCACTCCCGGAATCCGAGAGCTTCAGAGCTCTCCAAACGAAAAAAAAAAAAGTCCCTCATTCTTAATCCAATTCTTGAAATAAGTTATCTGTACCTTGAATGCAAATCTTTCCGAAAAATCTAAGAAAAGATAAATTTGTGACGAATTTTCGAGAAGAAGGAGATACTATTTTCAAACATTAAAGTGAAATGGTTCTCTGGCTCCATACACTCCGGTAAGAAAATTGCCTCCATTTGCCCTAGTCTGCCTCCAGTGTGTAAACAGTGTATAAATCTGGATAGGTTTTTATCTTTTCTCTTTTTAAATTCGGTTTTTTTAAAAAGAAATCAGAAGATAAGTATACATATGCGTTGCATTGGAAATTATAAAATGTATGAAAGACAACACTCTACGATAAAGCAAGACAAAGCAGTATGAGACTAAAAGAAGTTAGTCCAAAGTAAGGAAACTTTCTGATTTTTTATTTATTATCCACTTTACCCTATGATTTTATTCTCTGATCCTCTTTTCTTCTTCGGCCACCTCCCCTCAAACTGGTCAAATTGCCCAGTGGTGGCCAAAAAGGATAAGTACAGAAATCAGGGTGGTGTTTCCCTCTCATTATAGCTGTTCAGGAAAAGGTGGATTTCTCACAGTCTTTAAAAGGTTTGCTCTATTTTCTTAACTTTTTCCCTAAGAAAATGTTATCCTACTGAAGACTAAGGCCCTTATATTTTCTACTAGGTGGAGCTGCTAGGTTGGGATTAAACTGAAAACCTTCATAAAAGACATTCCCCCCGCTACCACCAATCCTTCCTGTCCCCCAATCTCCCTCATTTTCTTTCTAGACTTCCTTATCCGTGGGATCAAATTTCCGTTTCCTCTGCCAATGTTGTGAAATATTACAAGTCAAAACCTTTCTAACCACACAACACAAGCTGTGCCATGGGCGGTGTTCGCTGCTCAGTCATTTCAGGCGTCTGAACAAAACAAAAACAAGTTTAAATGAATTATTTATAAAGGATAGAGAATAATTGATTTGTGCTGTGCCATTACTTTCCCGATTTTTAATTTATGGGATTCTTCTGATTCCCCTAACCCCCAACTTACTATGAAAGGGGTCCACCTCTATTTGGAGCTTGGGTGTGCTGTGGGTAAAAACACCTCATCGGAATGCTGATGGATGATGTCAAAAGAAGAAGAGTCCGAATTGATACTTTGAAGGAAAAAAAAAGGTTAAGATTCCACCAATGACCTTGTGCAACCTCACTGTTCCCCTCCCGGTGACAGATTTTCTTCAGTTTAAGGGGATGAATGAAGAAGTAAAATGAGTCTTCGGGAACCCTACTTAGAAAGTCTCTGGTTAAGCCCCCCTCCCCCTCTATACTCCTGACTGCCTGACGACTCAGCATGAATTTCCGTATGGAATAATGAGACCATAAGGGGAAAATACCCACTTTTCCTTCCAGGGCACCTTAAGGGAGAATTGATAGCATACCCTAAATTTCTAATGTGGAGCTGAAGGAAACAGAGGGCCATATTTAGATACAGAGGGGGTGAACTGTGAGATGGATTTTCCTCCTTTCTGTCACTACTTCAAAGACTCAGATCTCCTTAAACACCTGCCTCCCAAAAGGATTTTCCTGGACCTGATGTCAAAATCTCCTTTGCTTCCCTTCAGTGCGTGACTGACTAGACCCTTCCTCCAGTCCAACCCGACTTTTTAGCCTTGAAAATATCTTTCCCTTACCACTGTTGATGAACATATATCTCTGTCTCCAAATTCTCCTTCCAGTAGAACCCCCTAAATATCTGATAATTAGTTTAGCTTGTTTTTACAACCTCTTACCTACCCTTCCTGTACCCCCTTTCTCCAGAGAGAACTCGGGCAGTAGTGATGATGATGAAAATAAACAACTCGTTGCATTTCTATATAATCTCCAGGCAGCATTGCATTCCACTGTGTCAATTGTGAATTACAGTACTCTTCTTGGAGAAGATAAGAAGGGGCTTCCCTCCCTCCCTCCAACTGTATTATGGGCGGATACAGAACAGACCTAGTGTCTATCCGGCCCATTTCATTTTTGAGTTGATCGATCTTAAAACATACAGCTACCCAGGTCAGCTACTCACCATCCTCAAACCCACCCTATGGGAACTACATCCATCAGCAATCAGTCTCCGAGCTTTAACCCATCCCTTCAAATACTTTAATTGTCATTTTATTAGTGGGGGCATATATTCTGCACCTCTCCAAGGAAGCGATTCCAGGAACACGGTTTACCTTAGGCTCATAGGGTCCTTAAAATGGTAATTTAGAGTAAAATGTAACTCAAAGAACTTTGAATCATTCATTAGCACCTTATAATTACTCTGCTAATTAGGTTGACACGGTACTTAATCAGGAGTAATACGCCGTCTTGTCAGTGGCACTTCCCATTACTCTGACATTCAACAAGAGACAGGTTGGAGTCGTCCTAGAAAAATTAATACAAGTTGATACCCTCCAAAGAGACAGTAGAATAATTTTCCGAGTCCCAGGCGGATCAACAGTAACTATTCCGATTGCGACCGAGCGGCCAACACCAGAGGGGGAGAGAGACAGACAGACAGACAGAGAAACAGAGAGAGAGAGAGAGAGAGAGAGACAGAGAGAGACAGAGAGAGAGAGAGAGAGAGAGAGAGAGAGAGAGAGAGAGAGAGAGAAGAAAAGGAGCAGGAGGGTGGTGGTTGGGGGGTGGGCTATTGATGGAGACAGGTAGAAAAAAAAAAGGAGCTCCCGAATTTCAGAAGAGCTCCGGAAAAAAGAGAGAGCAAAAACCCTGCAGCCCTAGACCATGCCCCTAGTTGAGCCTGTTAGCTGCTCACCCCAAGATTAGTTAATCCCCACTTGGGAGAAGCGATACGAACCCAGTTCTACCGGCATTTGCTTTCACTGGAGACTAGTTCAGTCAGAGTTTCTGGCTTGGGCTCCTGGGCTCCTGATCTGATCTATTCCGTACCTTTTCACTTCCCCTTCTCCTGGGGAGGCATCTTTCGAAGCTCAACTCTCTCTCTTCTCGATACCACTGCAAAACACTCATAAGCCCACCTTGCTTTGGCGGGATACGTGGCTCGTTAGAGCCTCAACCAGACCCCAGAACTGTGCTGGCTCCCCAGCAGTAGAAGGCACAAAGAGCCGGACGCTCGGAAGTTACACACTTCCAAATTTGCTTACTTCGACTCTCTCCCTTCCTCTGCTCTCAGTTCCTTCATGACTGGCAGGAGCAGAATTTAAGAAGTCGTTTTCATAGGCTTTGTAAGGATTTAAATGCAATTAGAGCTCCTTCCCTTTCTCGGCTACCTTTCTCTGTAAGAAAAATAACAAATTGTCACTAGCTCGCTTTCTTTCTGTCTGTCTTTCTTTCTGTCTTTCTTTCTTTCTTTCTTTCTTTCTTTCTTTCTTTCTTTCTTTCTTTCTTTCTTTCTTTCTTTCTTTCTTTCTTCCTTCCTTCCTTCCTTCCTCCCTCTCTTTTAGTTCTTTCCTTCCCTTTTCTTCCCACGTTATTGTTATTATAGGGATTACTGTTAGAATAGGTGTTTGGTTCTGGGGTTGCAGGAAGGAAGGGTCCTGGGGATTCTAAAATGAGCAGCCGGGACTGTATCTTCGGAACTGACAAAGTCCGCTAGGCGCGCTGCCATTGGCTCCTGGCACGTTGGCGTCTGTCTCTTCTGCCGAAGCCACCAATGGGGGCCTCGGGACCGCCGCGATGTCGCAATAAAGGGGGTGAGAATAAAACACGGAGGGGGGAAAGCGGCGGCAATGGCCGTGACGTCACGGGAGGGAGTCACTGGAGCCCAAGAGGAGCCGGATTACAAGGGAAGGAGCCAGGCAGTGGCCAGAGTCCGCCCCGCGCTGCGCCTCCTCCTCCTCTTCCTCCTCTTCCTCCTCCTCCTCTTCCTCCTCTTCCTCCTCCTCCTGCTGCAGCTGCCGAACCTCAACTTTCCCAGAAAGTTCAATAACTCGGCACCAGAGCGGCGGAGCCCCTAGCCCGGGCCACCTCGCGCCTCCCTGCAGCCGTGGAGCTCAGCTGGCTGCCCCTTCCCGCCGCCGCCGCAGCCCCACCTTGCGCTGCCCGCCTCCGCCGCCTCCGTCGCCGCCTACACCCATTGCCCTGCAGCAGCCCCGGGCAGCGGCGACGACGGCGGCGGCGGCGGCGGCGGCAGCTAGGTCCTCTCTCCTCCACACCCCCGCCGTGGCTCACACTGAACCACGCAGCCAACGCCACGTGCGCGAGTAGTACTGAAATCGTGGCTCCGCTTCCCCTGTATCATTTTTTGTAACTTTCCTTCCCTTCCTTCTTTCCCCCTACCCTCTTAAAAAAAAAAAAAGTTGTGTCCAAAAGCTTCCACTGATCTCCCCCTCCCCACCCCCACCTCACCTACAGGCCAGCTTCCTTTCCCTGTCCTCCCTCCCAGACTCTTTTTCTTCCCCTTAAAAGGCACGGATAAGTGTGCATTTTATTAGACCATTGTTATTATTTTTAAAGTCCTCGCTTTATTGCTGTGACCCGGGGCGGCAGTTGCCCCCTCTTCGAGTGTCGCCTGGCGGATGGAGACGAGCCCCATGTAGAAATGACTGCCATGGAAGGGGCGAGTGGGTCTAGTTTCGGAATAGACACGATTCTGTCCAGCGCCAGCTCGGGCAGCCCGGGTGCGATGAACGGAGATTTTCGCCAGCACGTCGATGGCCGCAGCACGGATTTTCGGAGCCAGGCCACCCCTTCCCCCTGTTCCGAGATCGATACAGTAGGAACTGCGCCTTCGTCTCCCATCTCCGTCACCCTGGAGCACCCGGAGCCCCACCTGGTCCAGGACGGCATACAGCACCATCACCACCTGCATCACGGGCAGCCGCCGCAGCCGACACAAAGTTTGCAGGCTTCCCCCCAGCAGCAGCCGCAGCCCCCGCAGCCGCAGCCACCCTCGCAGCCCCAGCAGCAGCCGCAGCCCCCGCAGCTGGGCTCGGCCGCCTCGGCCCCCAGGACTTCCACGTCTTCTTTTTTAATTAAAGACATTCTGGGCGACAGCAAACCGCTGGCCGCTTGTGCACCGTACAGCACCAGCGTCTCGTCTCCCCATCACACCCCGAAACAAGAGGGGAACGCAGCCAACGAGAACTTCAGGCCAAAACTCGAGCAGGAAGACAGCAAGACCAAACTCGACAAGCGCGATGATGTTCAGAACGACGTCAAATGCCACGGTGAGTCCGGGTCTTCCGGGGCCTTCCCGCACGCTCTCTGGCTCCTTCTCCCCGGGGGTCTTTTTCTCTTCTAGCACTTCCTCTTCATTCTTCTCCCTGGACTTTCTGTGAATCGTTTGCGGGTGGTTTTGATTCTGGCAGGTTTTTTGGTTTGGTCTGGTTTGGTTTTTGCTTTCACTGGGGTCGCCAAATGTCATTTACCAACGAGTTGGTGGCCTGAGTTCGCCTTCGGGGTTGTTCTTTTGCGTACCTGTCTGAAGTTTCATACAAGCGCTACATTTACAACCTCAACAATATGTCTTTCAGCCCTGTCCCCTTTTCTCTTTTTATTCATTATATTGATCACTTCTTTCCTTCCTTCCTTCTTTCATTCTTCTTTCCTTCCATCCTTTTTTCTCCCTTCCTTCGTCCCTTCTTTCTTTCCTTCCTTCCTTCCTTCCTTCCTTCCTTCCTTCCTTCCTTCCTTC